ATGCACCACAGTGGCAAAGCAGATTCAAATGCATCTCAACTTTAATTAGGCACAAATTGCATGTTTGGCACAATGCAAAGGACTCATGCTTAGCTTATTTCATGATTATTACAAATTGTAGAGTGGGAATGGTTGACTTGTTTTATAGATGAGGAGACTTTGAGTGTGAAGGGGGAAGTGATTTGTCTATGGCCAAGAGGAAAAGTGTGGGTGAGTCAAATCCAGGACTTCTGACTCCAAGTTCATTGCTCCCTCTTCCCCTCTATACAGGCAGTGTTTAGAGTGCAGAATGGGGGCTCAAGGTCTATCTCTGACACTTTCTAATGAGTGACCTCAGACATGTTACTTAACTTTGTGCCTCAGTTTCTTCATCTGTAAAGTGTGCCCAAAGGTAATAGTACCATCTTACGGAATTGTTGAGAAGATTAAATGAGATTTAAAGGGCTTGTGATACCTGATACCAGTAAGCACTAATGAATATCAGTTGTTATCTTAGCTCTTCTTTCCACAAAGAAGAATTTGAGGAAATTTTGCAATCTAGTTAGATTATAGTAATTTTGAGAGCAAGAGATTGTATCTAATTTTCTTTTTCTTCTTTTCTGCTCCTTTCTTTTCCTTATCTCTACCCTCAAGCATAGTGCCTTGCCTGGAAATGATACTCAGGTGTTTGTTAGTGGTTTCAGTTCTATGGAACTTTTCAGTCAACAAGTGCGTATTGACCATCCCCATGGGTGAAGGCTGCCCACACCTGGACACCATCATGGGGGAGTTCAGAAGCACGTGCTATGAGTCTCATGCCTACACTGGAAGTCCTTTTATCTCTTGTATTGTCTGATATTGTCATTACCACAACCTTAAGTTGTAGGGACACTGACGCCCATTCAGTTGCCAAAGAAACTGAGATACAGCACAGTTGGTGGCAGATGTCACACAACTAACTGGGTAAGGAAACAGGGTTCCAGTGTAGGCATGAGACTCATAACACGTGCTTCTGAACTCCCCCATGATGGTGTCCAGGTGTGAAGGTAAACATTTCCGCTGATGTTTTACCCTAAGTGTTGATCCTTCCTCAGACACATTTTTTTCAGAGATCTGAACCCACTGTAAACTCATTGGGGAAACTGAGCACATGAGACATTTGTTACGTCTTGAAGAAATATTTTAATCAAGTTATGTGGCCCTATCCACATACAGACAGTCTGCCTATTTAGTAAGCACTCCATTATTAAGGAGCAGTTAATGAACAGTTTGTTTAAGGGATTGCACACATAGCTCATTTGATGATTTTTTTTCATTTTATTCAGATTAAAATGCACAGAATTGCATAAGTCGTGATTACAGTTGTCTTAACACAGGCCTTCACTTTTGCCACCAGTGGTTCCAGTACAGTGGAGACCCACTTCAAGGTCAAGTGTCATCTCAGAGGAGGAACAGAGACTTCCCTAGTTGCCTCTTTTGACCTTTTCCAAACAGAACTAGCATTTCCTCGAGACTAAATGCCTTTTCCATTGGATATCTTTTGATAGAATTTCACTGTTGGATCAATTGAACAAATTACCTAGTGTTAGGAAAAAGTCAGTACTTTGGGGTAATTTTTTAGTGACTCTTGGGTTTAGAAGGAAAGTTCCCTAAGCAATGTACACAGTTGTAGAGGCCCTCGAATTTGGATGTGATTTATAGGGACCAGTCCTGCATGCGATCTCTTTTCTGATTTCACAAAGAGGGATTTACTCTCAAAAATTATCTTCGGAACTTGAGAATGACATATGTCCTACTTTACAGCACCTTCTACCTCTATTGGTTCCTTCAGTATCCCTACAAATGTGAGTGATTCTTCTACTTGATAACAATCACTCACCTCAACCAGGTCCTCTGGATGGCTGCCATTCTTTTTTCTTACTTTCTTCCACTCTCAGAATTTTTAACAGTTGGTCTTTATTTATTGTCGGATGGACTCATTGACACACTCGCTTGCACTCTCTGGCTGCTGCCTTCCAATCCTCAGAAGGCAAGAGCTATCAGCCTGTCCCAAGAGTTCACCCAAAGCCTTACTATACTGGGGATGCTCCACTCAGCAGCAGCAACTACTCTCAGCCTTAAATGGTAAAAAGGACCAGTGTTTCCAATTAGATTGTGCAATTTGGAGATGACCGTATGGGGACAATTTACAACGCCCACCCACTTTCCTATTTCTTTCTCTACCAATGAGAAGGAAAGAAAGGTCAGAATAACCCCCATGCCCACCTCTGCCTCCTGGATATACAGCTGCAGCTTGTGCGATACTCTGGGGAAGGACCCAGAGCCCTGGGCTCTCTGATGGCCCTCTTGCTTGTCGAGTCTCCCCATGTGTTATATCATGAGGCAGCTGCAGGTGAGGAAAGCCTGGAGAGACACAGATCCACACGTGCCCTTTCCTTTGTCTCTGCTCTACCTGTCTGTTCAGATTAGAAGCCTGTGAAGCATGTCAGCTTCTGTGTTCTGTGCAGCGCCCACCCACGGCAGATGCTCATGGGAATGTGGATGATTGATGATGGTGTTAATCTGAGTAATAACAGACATTGGGAGCTTGATCTCAGGGAAGCTTCTCAGTACTGGGTTATGAATGCACGCGTTCTACAGAGGAGGAAGAAACCCAGCTAATGGGCAACTGTAGACGCCAGTACCAGGGTGGTCCAGGTTAAAATGCTCCTCCCTTGAAAAATAAAAAGCACATCAATTTAACAAGTAAGCAAATAAACAAGCCCTTGCACGAGCTACGCAATCAAGCCTTTTTTGACACCACACCAATAGAAGCCCCAATTACGTGTCAGGTGCTGGAGAATGGAGTCAAAAGGAATGAGACAGTTTTGTTCCGGGGAGCCCCTCCCAGACCTCCATTCCTGGTGACATCTACCTTTCCCTTGTGCTTTGAACAGCTCTTCCCCCTGTAACCCAGAGGATGTGCAAGTGCTTCTGTATGATGTCTATCAGGGAAGACAGAAGTCTGTTTGCAGACAGCATGGGAATTAATAACACTTGGAGAAACAAGGAACCAGTGTTGGTGAGGACGTGGAGCATTCAGAACTCCTCTCTCAGTGGGAATGTGAAGTGGTGCAGCTGCTATGGAAAGCAATGTGCCGATTCCTCAAAAAATGAAGAATGAAACAGCGACGTGATCCAGCAAGCAATTCTGCTTCTGGGTACAGATCCCAAAGAATTCAAAGCAGGATCTCAAGGCGATGTTTGCATGCTCATGTTCATGGTAGCATTATTCAAAATCGCCAAGAGGGGGAAACAACCCCAATGTCTATCAAAGGAAGAGCGAATAAACCAAAATGTGGTCTATACATATATTGAAATATTATTCAGTCTTTAAGAGGAAAGAAATCCTGTCATATGCTACAACATGGACGAATCCTGAAGCCATCATGTTAAGTGAAGTCACAGACCAGTCACAGATGGACAAATACTCTGTAATTCCCCCCATATGAGATTTATAATATAGTCAAAATCAGGCAGATGGAAAGTGGAAAAGGAGTCGCTCAAGAATGGGGGAGGGGAGAGGGGGAACTAGTGGGTAATGCAAGTTTTGATTTTGCAAGATGAAATTGTCCTAGAGATTTATTTCACAGTGGAGTGAATATACTCAATATATTTGAGTTGTACACTTAAAAAATGGTTACCATGGTAAATTGGTAAATTTAACATTATATGTTTATGATCATGATTTCAAAGTTGTAAAGAACTTGGGGAAGTTCCTTTGTAAAAAGAAAAATTATTTTAATGTACTTAATCAGATTTCTGGTTTTTCTATAGGTCTATCTTTTGAACTTTTATATATTGAATTTTCTTACAGCAAGATTTTCTTGTAACTGGGGTATGGGAGACCCAAGTGGGCTGTCCCACTGCCTCTGAATCTGCCAGTCTACCACTCCTTTCCAACCCTGAACAGCAAAATAATGCAGAAGCAGGATTCTCTGGATAAGAGGCTTAATATACACAAGAGGGCTTTCACTAATAATTGATATAGAGATGAACGGTTTGACAGAATTGAGACCAGAAGGACTGGGCACTGTGGTCTTAATGTAGTTTCTACATACGGTCCAATAAATATATATATTTGACTTTTGCCCCTAGTTCCTGGCATAGAGCTCCTAATCCCTGTGGAATTTCCTGATAATGGAGTGATTCTGGGAGAACAGGGGATGGTTGCCAAAGGAACCATCTTGGTTGGTTGGTTGGTTCCTAACCAAGTGATTACAGTTGGAATTTTCAGCATCCCCCATCCTGAGAAGAGGGGAGGGGCTTGATTGAGTCAAATTATCAATGGCCAATGAGTTATTTAACCATGCTAATGAAACGAAATATCCACAAAACAATTGGGTTTAAGGAGCTTCGGGATTGGTGAGCACATGGAGATGCTGGGCGTATGGCATGCCCAGAGGAGACTTGAATGATGAACACCCCCCTCTCCAATGTCCTGCTCTGTACACCTCCTCTCATAGTCTGTGCTGTATCCCTTGCAATAAAATTGTAATCAAAAGTAAAGCATTTTCCTGATTTTTGTATGCCATCCTAGAAAATTACTGAACCCAAGGAGGAGGAGGTGGAAACCCCTGATTTATAGCTGATCAGTTGGAAGTATAGGTGAATTAGACCTGTGGTTGACATCTGAAGGGAAGGCAGTCTTATGGGACTGAGCTCCTGACTTCTGGGATCTGACACTAACCCTGGGAGCTAATGTCAGAATGGAATTGAATTGTAGGACACACAGTTGGTGTCAAAAAAAACCAAAACAGCTCAGACTGTATTTCCTCCCTGGGTCTTGGCAGAGTTTGGTTTGTGTTTGTTTCTTCCTTCTTAAGTGATCCAACTGCAGGTAGAAAGAAGTTACAAGTCTCCACCTAGCCTGGCAGTGAGGATGTGAATGGCAACCAGGATGACCAAACAAGGCCAAGTGTTTGGGCAATTATGTGTCACGCTGACCCTAACTAGCCACGTGATCACAGCCAGGGCAAACTCTTCTTGTTTATCAGATGCATCATTCTTGCCTATAGTGCTCAGAGAAAAACCATGAACCCTGAAAAACACCATATTGTTTTGTGATGTCACCTCTGGAATGTTCTGAGTGTTTTGGTGACCAGCTTCTGCATAGGACCTATACCTGGCACCTTACATTGGTATGACTTTTTACTTGAGATAGAAATAATAGTCTTAGGCAAGGGAGTAGGTATAGCCATCTCTGAAGCCATCTTTGAAGCCACCTCTGCTTCAGAGACTTTCGAAAGGCTTTTACATCAACTATAATCCCTGTCTTAATTTCTGTTCAGACATCAACAAAGCATCTAATCAGATAGATCCATATCTCCAGACTCAGATTTTCATAATTTACATAATAAACAAGAAGGGAATAGATGAACAGAAAGTCACTATATATTTCGGGTGAGCAGTTGAGGCCCAGAGTGGGTTGGGAAGTTGGAAAACCTTCTTATTTTCTCTTTTCCACAGCACTCAAGGCCAAACTTTACAAGAAAAAAAGACACCAGATATGAGAGCCTAGAAACCCCAACCAATGTGGTTCTGCCTCAGGTATGGATAATCACAGGAAGATGTAGCCCATCGGTTTTAGGCTTTTTAATAACCCTCCTCTTTAGAGATTCTAGCAAGATGGTGTAGAATAAGCAGAGAAATTAGGCCATTGGATTCTAGTTGTGATAGACCCCCTCCCCTCCGGCTGTGGGCCTTGGGGGTGCCACATGGGCTTGGGATCCTTGAACGTGGAGGCTGGGTAGACGAGCCACCTGAAAGTCCTAACCTTTCAAGTTTCTATCATACTCAGAAATAACCCAACCTTCTCAAATGAGATCCTTTGCTACAGGCTGTTGTGTAACTTCCCTGGATTTCCAAGGTGAATTAAAACTTGAACTTGACATCAAATGTGTAAGAATGAATCAATGAGGAGAAAACCTAGTACACATACTAAGGGATGCAGAGTCATTTAGGGTTATAGAGATAATTATGTGCCAAAGACAGAGCATAAGAGGGATGGGCATGTTCTGTTTTTTTTTTTTTTTTTTTTTTTTTTTTTTTTTTGTGTGTGTGTGTGTGTGTGTGTGTGTGTGTTTTGAGGCCAACAAATTGTTAGAGTCCTGGCAGTCTTGAGATTCTCAGGTCTCCTCCTGCAAGCAGCTGTTTCCTTGGTGTGGTCCTTGGGGTTGGATTGTTTCTACTGCTGCTATGTCACAAAGGGGTTGGCCTTGCTTTCTCCAGAGTCACCTAAGGCCCCATTGGAAGACCATGGCCATGCAACCAGAAGGGTTGAAATGTAGGATGGAGGAATCCAATGCCGAGGTAACTATCTAAAAGGTTTGTCCAGGGACACACAAGGAGGACAGTCACCCGTGGGCATTCTATGTTGACAATTAGAACCATCCTGCAAATATGTTCAATGGGAGGCAAATATATAGGACAGGAAGACATCCTGGATGTTTTTTGTCACATCATCCTTATGGCTTTGTATGGAAGGGCTACTTTTCTGTTTCAGCTCATGACGCGTAGCCCTCATATTAGGTAATTTCTCCTGATCTTTTGACAAGATGGTAACAAGCCGCAGAAACATTTTTAGTTCTGATTGTTTCTGCTTGAAACACACATTGAGTTCTGTTGGCCGATACTTCCTCCCTGAGGGTGGGTGTTGACCTTTGGTTCCTTCATGGTCCACATAAACCAATCTTTGCTCTGCTAAAGGACAGACAGAGAATGTCAACCTGGGCGTAGGTATTAGAAGAGAATTTGATCCTGTGATAGAGATGGGAAGTGGAAATCTTGTTTTCTCTTTCCCACAGCACTCAAGGCCAAATTTTACAAGAAAAAAAGACACCAGATATGAGAGCCTAGAAACCCCAACCAATGTGGTTCTGCCTCAGGTATGGATAATCACAGAATTATCCATTTCTCCCATTTCTCTCCCTGGGATATTTCCAGCTCCCAGGGAGAGAAATAGGCTCTGTAGTCAAAGAGGAAAAAAAGTCCTCTAAGAAGGCTAGAGCTTTTTCTGGGGTGGCTCACTTTCTGTATTGCCAAACCTGGGGCCGTTGATGTGGTCTTGGAGGACAGAGGGCCACGGGATGAGGGGATCTCTGCTGTCTGGGTGTGTGCACCCCCACGCGAACAGATGTGGCCTCAGGCTTACATGCCAGGATGCTCTGACTGTGTCTCTGGGGGAGGGAAGTGACGTCTCTATACAGATGATCTGAACCAAACAACTCCCAGGGCTGTGAAGAGGGACTGATGTTCTTGTTGTACCTCCATCAATGAGATGGCATGCAGCCTAAGGGAAAAGAGTAAATCTGAGAAACCAGGAGAGGAAGAAATATTGACTGAGCACTTATGACATTGTGTGTCAGGGCCAGGGCCGTGCCGGTGAGTGGTAGAGATTTTACAGATATGGGAAGCCCAACAGGGATGGGAAGAGCTGGAATAGGAGTATCCTTTCTTCTCTGTTACCTGCCTGGGCCAGGTTGGGTCTGAGCTTTGTAATTCCTCTCTAGTTTTTAAGAGCAAGTGTCTCCCCTCTCCCAATCTTTTTTTAAAAACTTCTTTCCTCTTGATTTTTTAAAATTTTAATTTTTTAAAATTTATATATGACAGTGGAATGCATTACAATTCTTATTACACATACAGAGCACAATTTTTCATATCTGGTTGTATACAAAGTATGTTCATACCAATTCATGTCTTTATACATGTACTTTGGATAATAATGTCCATTACATTCCACCATCATTTCTAACCCCATGCCCCCTCCCTTTCCCTCCCACCCCTCTGCCCTATCTAGAATTCATCTATTCCTCCCACACTCCCCCTCCCTACCCCACTATGAGTCAGCCTCCTTATATCAGAGAAAACATTAGGCATTTTGTTTTATGGGATTGGCTAACTTCACTTAGCATTATCTTCTCTAACTCCCTCCATTTACCTGCAAATGCCATGATTATATTCTCTTGTATTGCTGAGTAATATCCCATTGTGTATATATGCCACATTTTTAAAATCCATTCGTCTATTGAAGGACAGGTAGGTTGGTTCCACAGTTTAGCTATTGTGAATTGTGCTGCTATAAACATTGATGTGGCTGTGTCCCTGTAATATGATCTGTGTCTGATAGAAGAAAAAGTAGACCCTAATCTCCATCATGTGGGATTAGGCCCCAACTTCCTTAATAAGATTCCTTTGGTATAAGAATTAAAATCAAGAATCCATAAATTCTTGGGATGGACTCAAACTAAAAAGTTTCTTCTCTGCAAAAGAAACAATCTGCGAGGTAAGTAGAGAGCCTACATCTTGGGAGCAAAGTTTTACCCCTCATACATCAGATAGAGCACCCATCTCCAGGGTATATAAAGAACTCAAAAGCCAAGCACCAAAAAAAACCAAATAACCCAATCAATAAATGGGCCAAGGTCCCCTCCCCCAATCTTAACAGCTAATTCCAAGCTCCCTGGGTGTATCTGCCCTCTGCAGTTTTGAGACCAAGTCCATGGGTTTGGGGAGGGAAGGGCAACAATAGCTCTGCCTCCAAGAAACAGCTCTGGTAGTAGCTCCAGTCCTACTGGGCATCTGGGCTTCTCAATCAGACTGTAAATGCATATGACTCAGGATTTGTTATCACCCTTAGGTCTTTTCAGGTCTTATTGATTTCCCATTTTTCTTCCTCACATTAAATATTTGTGTTTTCTGATCTATTTCCCTCCAGCACATTAACTTGCAAGTCATGAGTGTTATTTCCTGCCCAAGCGAACGGATCTCCTGGTTCCTCTTGCACATAATGATGTGGTGCTCACAGGCACTCTGGCTTCCCCAGTGAGCACTGGCTGGGAATTTTATTAAGTGCTGTTTACTCCTAGATCATTAACGAAGGATCTCTAACTAGGCCAGAATGAGCTCTGATGGCACCTTCCAGTGCCCCCCCCCGCTTCTCTCCTGGCTGTCTTTTCTCCCCATTTCTTTGAGCTTGTTCTTCAGAAGTGACGGGATCCCGCTGACAGTACCAATCTGAATAACTTTTCAGGGAAAGATTTCAGGACAGTCTGTGTTAAATGATTAGTGAAAACCACCATGTATAATCTCTTCTTTATTCTCTTTTTGCTATAAGTGTTGTAATTCTATCAAAATCAATCACGTTGACCCAGTGAACTATACTTTTACCTGTTTGAATTTATTAAAACAAATATTGACTTTATGGGGGAGGTAAGTTAATTTTTTAAAATGATAATGAGACTCAGTCAGCTATGTCATCTCATTTGCAAATTAGCAGCATGTTTGGCATTTCATTTCAGAATCTGGGGACCTTTCCACTCTATAAGCTTTAAAAGTACCTAAGATGTCTAAATGTTATCTGCTAGTAACCTTCAGTAATGGAGGTAAAATAGATGTTGAAAAACTTGGTCAATAGACTTGGATTTTTCCTTGAGTGGACATCTCTTCTGGGTTGTGGTGTAGGAGTAGAGAGAACTTCAATATGTGTATCAGTCCATTTTCTGTTGCCGTAACAAAATACCTGAGATTGAGTAATTTATAAAGAATAGAGGTTTTATTAAGCTCATAGTTCTGGAAGGTTAGAAGACCAAAAGCCAGTGAGGATCTTTTTGCTGCCTCCTAACATGGCAGAGAGCATCATATGGCAGTTCAGAGCAAACCAGTCACAGAGAGCTCACCTTCATAAAAAGTCACTCCTGCTATAATCCTTTAATCCGTGAATGAATTAATCCATTCATGACCCAATCACTTCCCCAAAGTCCCACCTCTCAAAAATGATCAGCCCATGATTTGAGGGTTTAAGTTTTCGACAAATGAAATTTAGGAGACACATTCAAACCATAGCAGTCCATGTCAGCTAAGCCTGGCTAATCACCCTACAGTCCCATCCCCAAAGAAATTCCAACCTGGAAGATTCCACTCACAGAGTCCTTTTCCTTAGAAATCCTGTAGCACCAATAGGAGACTCTGTTCCTCTTGGCTCCCTTTGCCCTTTGCCCCTCTCCTTTCCATGAGCTGCTCTTTTCTATACCCTCACTATCCCTGAGACTAGTGATCTGACCAAGGCATATAGTCCTTAGGGATTTCAAGCATTTCCCTTCTAGGATCACTCCCATTTAAAAGGAGATGCCAAGAAGGGGCCCAACCTACACTGAGAAAGAATTCTTAAACATAGGTGGGATTTCAGACATCCACAAATTGTGCCCAGGCATCTTCTTGGGATCGTCAGCATTAAGAGATTATTTGGTCACAGCCACTTTGAGGCTGAGAACAGGGTTTTGGTTGCTTTTCCAACACCTGATGGAAAGGTGTGATAAGTTGTCCCCCTCCTGGAGCCACTTAATGTCTTATTCTTCCATGAAGGAGACAGCCCTTTTCTTCCCCATCTACTGGGTCTCCATCCCTGTGTGAGAGCATTTTCCAGAGACCAGGAAAGAGCTGATCCTTTCCTTCATGGGAAACTTGGATCATATGGCCATAGGCTCTGCCTCTCATCCTTCTCAGGGTGTTTGAGGGATTTTATTTGGGCACAGACTTCTTCTCAGGGCCTGACTTATCAGGGCAGATTAGCTCAGTCCAAGGAACCAACCCAATGACCACTGACACTGGTCAAGAAGACCTACTGAAAGGAACTGGCTGCAAACACAGACGGAGGAGGCCTGGGATTCATACCTGCATGTGTTTGCTTAGCTCAGAGGCTCACATTGTGGAAAAGGCTCTTGCAGAAAAATATACTCAGCATTTGCAACAGTGGCTCAGGCCAGGAGGTGTTAAATCTTACCAGTAGAGCTGATTGTGTGTTTGGTCTTTGTGACATCTTGCCTGCCCCTTGTCCTCTTACAATCCCAGGAAGTAGACAGCAGCTATGTTTAGGCTTATTTTGGAGGTGACACTCAGAGCAGCTAAGAGATTTTCTTAAGAGTACTCAACCACGGGAATTGGAGCTCAAAGATATTGGGAATTTGGGGATTTTACTGTGATTGGATTACAGGTTCAAGATAATGAAATGGATAGCTGGCGTGCTGTGGGCAGAGGCAGTTTCCTTCAAGGGAAGCACACAGAGGGACCTGGGAGTTTGTGGAATTCACAAGGTAGCAAACTCCACTGTTGGAGATTTTACATCATGCAATCACATCCCTGCACTAGGATTATTTTAAAGTTTTAAAATCTGAATTGAGGGTTGGGGTTGTGACTCAGTGGTACAGCGCTGGCCCAGCATATGTGAGGTACTGGGTTTGATTCTCAGCACCACATAAAAAGTAATTAATTAATAATAAAAGTCCATCAACAACTAAAATAAATTAAAAAAAAAT